TGCTTACTGGGGTAATTCGGGGCGCTGATTCCGAAGGTCTACCTTGAAGAGCGCAAAAATGGCAAAAATCACCATTTCCCGAGGCCTCCAATTTTGAATTTGGACGAGTGGAGAACTGTTACATTTCACTGCATTTTGATCATCGCATTTCGGCACGTCCCGCCATGGTCAAAGAGGCAGAATCGTTGCGTGACCCTCGCAGTTATAACTGCGGCATGCCTTCTCTGGCGGGTCAGGAAGAATCGCAAGCTCGTCCGCGCGTATTAGAATAGCTTGCGCGTACCGGGATTTTCTATGCAAGGGCAGCATGCTGTGTGCTCGGAGCTGCTCTGTTCTCATGTTTGGGGTGCAAGCAACCTTCCATGTCAGAATTTCGGGATGTTCGGTTTTGGCGAGCTGCTGCCTTTAACACATTCACGACAAGGTCGATTTTTTGACTACTGCCGTTTCGGACCAGAGCCTTTTTCGCTTTGTCAAATTTACGACCCACCCGTGGGTCGTAATGTCCGAAATGGTAGTCTTTTTGGAAGAAATTCAGAACATTTATCCGAGAATTTCCCGACAAGGGTTATCGGAGGCGCTGATTACCAAAATATGATTTATTTCCGTTTTTGGCAGTATACGGTAAGTTTACGGTAGTCATTCTGTACGAACCTAACATCATGGATTTTCGTGGAAAATGGTGTTGGGGTTATTTCACGTGCTGATCACGATTATAGTGTCCACTTTGCTCACTACATTCCCACGCTGGGACTACGGTAGCAGTACGGTAGAATTTCCTTAAAAATCAAGAAACTGATGTAAGAAGGCGGTATTAGAACTCGAGACTATCATTTTCGTAATCAGCATGCTAAAAAACCTATATACGTAAGGTTTGGGCTTCCTGGGATGAACAAGGCGAAAAATCAATAAAATCAATAAAATCGATAATTTTTGATGGGCTGACATAAGTCTCGTGCCCTCCTTGTATTTTTCGTGCATGCATACTTGATTTTGCAAAACCAGCACCACTCTGCGAAGAATTTGAGCTTAAATCTTTGCCTGCCTTATCTATGGTATACCTGCCGTAACATTACTTTACAGTATCCCGAACCTGGACCACTCTGGCTGGAGCTTCGCCAAGGTGTCCCCACTCATGTGCCAAAAGCCCGTAGAATTCCATCGTGTACTGGCAAAACTAGAGCTTCAGGAATCTTATGACCCACCGGTGGTCGTATTGTCGTGAATGTGAATGTGTTAAGGCACACTTTCCGCAATTCCGTGATCGCTATATTTACGCGAGTTGGCGATCTGCCAGATTTCTACAGATTAGCCATATACGGGTCTCAAATGTTTAGGCGCGTAGTTTCTGTAAATTGTCGCGAAAGCAACAAGTGCGGCTCAAGAAATGTGTGCTCATGGCCAATTATGACAGTCCTTGTGACAGATCGTGCTATAGTTAGAACCGAATATTCGTGTTCGAATAATTTATTCGAAATATTCGACTATTCGAATAATCGAATAGTCGAATATTCAAGGCAGTCCAATTATTCGATTATTCGAATAGTCGAATAAATGAAAAAGGCCTGTGTTCGAATAATTTCATTCGATGATTTGGAAAAATGAGTTATTCGAACATTCGTTTATTCGAGGAATTACAAAAGACGGTTCTTCGAATATTCGAATATTCGAGCCAACTTGAAAGACAGTCATTCGAATATTCGAATATTTAAGAGCATTCATTCGAACATTCGATATCAAAAGAAAACTTTAGCTGTTCTACACTAAGTAAAATAAAAGTATGTCCCCGATCGGTCAATTCACACAAATGAATTTTCAAATGACAGAATGGCTAGCAAGCTTTCCTTTTTAAGGCATGAGTCGCGAGTCATGCCAGAGCATAGTGATGACAAGCCCTTTACATAATTCATTTGGAGTGGTGAACTATCTTCTGGAAATCGCGTCTGAGAAGTTGAGACGCCTGATCACTCGCGTACCTCCAAGCTCTAAGTTGGGTGAAGAAGCAAAGCCATCATTAGGCGCCCAACGCACCACTGGTCCCCAAACAGCATGCATAAGCATGTGAAGGGCCAGCAGCCCTTTAAGGCAGCAGGTATAGGCAACATTCATTCCTTCATCTCGAGGTCTTCATTTGCCTTGCCAGCCTAATCACCGCTCGCGTGTCAGAATACCTCAAAGATACGTTGCAACGCAAGGCCAGAGCAAGGCGGTCGTGAGGACCTGAGCCGCTCGACTTGTGGCGGCAGCCTATATGTTAGTCATCATACTCAAATCAGCTGCCCTTATAGTCAGGAGGCGTAGAAAATTAATGTTAGAATTACACGCCTACATGAAGTACGCGTGTAGGCGCCTACTCGAAGTATTATTCCTCTACGAACTTTGCATCATTGCAAAGTTCGTAGAGGAATAATACTCCGAGTAGGCGTGTGGGTTGAACAATAATTATTTTGAACCTGAGTAAAAGATATGGAAGATCCCTTACAACAAAAGTACAAACCTCAAAAATGCAACTAAAACAAATTTGTGAGAATTCAATCCTACAGCAGAAACTGTGAAACTCGTGATTAACAATTCCCGACAAGTATTAGATTATCAGCTAATATACAGATATTTCCACGAGTTTTCTTTGGATTTAGATGAGCACAGAAGTATTAGATTATCCTGGAAGAATTGTCCGTTTTTTTTTTCATCGCTCACTAGAACTCACAGAACACCGATCCATGATCAACTTAGGTACGATTTGATACAGATTTTTATCTTCTTTCTTGTAGCTGTATTGTTCTCTGATCTACTCTGTCTTTGCAATGTTATCGCCAAGGCTTCCTGAGCAGCTCAGAAGTAACGCCAAATTTTTACTGAGTTTTAAAAATTTTTATCCTGATGTTTCCAAAGAGCGCTGATGAATGTCATGTAGGGCAAGCCTTTAGCTACATTGTTCCCATTTTAGATTATATGGGCCATGTTTACCAAGCTCGTTATGATTATTTGTTTGATAAAAACTGCGCCTTTTTGATTACGTTTACCACGTAAAAGTACCGAAAATTCCAAAAAGCTACTTTTCAAAGCAAATCAAACTTGCTTATGTAGCGTGAGTTTGATAAGAATCATATTTTAATTCGCAAAAGTTTCAAAAGCTTTCGTATATTTGCTGCAGTTGCGTGTTTCATGACTTTGCCAGAAATCGAGACTTCCGAAGATATAATGTTTTTGATGCTAAAAACAACAAATTAAGAGAATCTAAAATATTACCCTGTATTCCGAGAATTGCTCTGTTTGATCCATATTAGTCCTTTCCGAAACTTTGAAATGAAATTCAAAAGTAGCCTAACTTTGAGCAGATAAAATTGACGGATGGAGAATTTTGGCAATTATCAAAGAAAGCATACAAGATTGTAGTTCGGAAATGTATTCTTGAAAAAGAGAAGGTAAAGCTGCACCGAATGCTAAAACTCATTCAGGTCTTTATTGTGCGTAGTTTGATATTAATTTGAAAAAACGGACAAAACTTTCGGTACAACAGCAGAGGTTCATATATTCTATTACCGTAGGCCTTCCTCGTGCTCCTCCAGTGCTAGTCTTACAAGGGAATGGTCAGAAGTCGAAGTGGCCAATCCAAACAGGCTGCATACCGTTCGATGCAGCATAAAACGCTGATTTCAGATCAGCCTTCCGTATCTGCAGAGCGCCTATGTAGGCGAAGTTATGAGCAGCTTTACTGCGAAAAAATCGTACACAAAAATTGCGAGACTAGGCACATTATTGTTCTTTCAGCTCACCTTTGAGAACGGGCCATATTAAGAGACCTAGTTGCATGTTTAGGTCCAACACTGAGCCGATAGTGGGTCTACAAGGCCAAGTTTGGCCTTCACACGCACGATTTCTTAACAAAATTATGGCTTTGAACGCCTTATAATTTCATTCACAAAAGCGCTCTGCAGATAAAGAAAGCAGATTTAGAGTCAGCGTTTTATGCTGCATCTAACGGTATGCAGCTTGTATGGATTGCCCACTTCGATTTCTGACCATTCCCTTGTTAGAACTAGCGCAATGCTGACCATTACGATTGAATTACAAAGAACTACCTTTTTTAAAATGTTTTCCATGTTAAATCTTCAGCTTTGGGAAAAAGTTCTGTGTAGCTTCGGGAGATACTTCTGTGAGGAAAAATGAATGCGGCTTTGAAACGATTACTAAGTAAGTCTTAGTAGCCATCTTAAAAGACCATGAACATCTCGAACAACATGTGAGTGAAATTATCAGCTACAAAGATCAAATTAGCGATTAATTTTTTTGCAGAAAACCGCAACAAAGAAAAAACCAGCGTTTTTTGAGGTGTTAGATTATTCGAATTATTCGAATAGTCGAATGTACGACCAACCCCATTTATTCGAATATTCGTTCATTCGAATTTTGAAATGTAGCATTATTCGAATATTCGAATTCGAATAATCTGAAAATTACAGATCGAATAATATTCGTTCGTTCGAATATTTTTCAAAAGCCGATTATTCGAAATTCATTCGTTCGACGAAATTTTTCAGTCGTTCTAACTATAGATCATGCTACGGACTCGCGTAAGATACGCCTTAGGCTTAACGCTTTGTCTAGGGCTTTCATAAATCCGTGACTGAATTCGGCTACAGCCCTTGCGCCCAACAAACGTCACGAGAGCATAAGACTTCGGCAAAAAAATCATTATGTTGCTCACCTACTCCAAATATCCAACAACTATCTTAAGGCCAAAAAAGGTTCGAATAGAGACGAAAACTAAAAGAATATGCGGTTGCCAAAATTGCGTACACTACCCGCGTGCTGCTGGCATCGTCTCAATTTCATGAATGCCCCACCATCACTATAGCACAGCTACCTGTCAGAATCTCACAGGAAAAACAGAAGACTTCGACATATGCAATATTTTCACTTAAATTTGAGCACTAAGGAAAGAATCAATAGCATTTCTCATAAGGGGGAATCGCCATGCAATTTTGAACACAGCTCACCTTGTTCACTTTCCATTTCCCCGACTTTTTGGATGCCAATTATCTGTGAAACTGAGAAGCGCAGTATTTGCCCTCAACTACTAAACAATAAGGTTATCGATCTTGATCGCTGTCCAGTATCATAACATCTACTACAAAAATGAGATAATGAAGCTAATGAACGTAATATCCAACAAATTTATTACTAAGAGAACCAGTACAATATTCATAATTTGTATAAACTATCTTGAATGATTTTTCACCGTCATGCCATAAACCCTTTAACTTTGAGAGTTATCATAAGCAACAATAAAACGATTCTTCATCACTACTTGGAATATAAAGCAGCCAATTTCATACAATGGAATTTTTATGGAAGAGGATTCACTGACTTTTGCAGTCACTGCAATAAGTCCAAGAAAAAGAGTTTGAAAAGAAAAATTCTGTTAATTATTCAGGTCGATGACTGAGATGCTGAACACGGAAGAGATTGCACAATTCATCTACATGAGCCTCGTGACGGAATGATACTCTGCAGTAGAAAAAAATTAGAATTCGTAAGCGGAAACTAAAGACTTACCTTATGTCTGGAACATTAGTGCGGTGTATATCATTACCCAATACACCTTCTTCTTGATAATTTGGTCCAAGCCAATGGATTTTAACCTTAATGAATACAGTACGACTTATAATGGCACTTATACTGGAGCTTTAGCAAAACTAACCTTATTTTCAAATCCACTCTGCATTACACTATTTCTGGCCAACTCGCACATATCACATGAACTAAGTTTCCATACCTACAAGAATTGCTTTGAATTGAGGGACCAAAAAAATTTATTTAGGTCCAAATTTCGTTAAGAAACAAAATAACCTCTCCATTTCTATCTCAAAAAGACAATGATAGCCAAATTGTTCTTATAGAGAAAACTGATTCAACGTTATCAAATTCCATCAATCGCAACCTATCTTTACTCAATGAGAAAGAAAAACATTTCAAAAAGGAATCTACCTGGGCAGCAATGGAATACTCTTCCATGAGTGCTTCTTTAGTATAATGAAATTGCAGTGGATCATCAGTAGAAAGTGAGACATTGAGACCCTAAATGCAGATCGCTTTCGAAAAAATCAAAGAAAATTAAGTGAGAGACACCTTTTGGAGATACTCTGGTAACGGATTACGTTGGTAGCTAATAAATAAGGAATTGTTTGAGAGAGGAGACATTGCTATACCCATTTGTGTGAGATAGAATAAGTACTGTAACACGGGAACCTGAATGGAGTTGATTGGTATAGGATGGGGGCAAGGCGGTGGCAACAGACCTTCCGCAATAAAATTCCGTGTGCGATACTTTCACTGAGTAGGAAACCAGTGAGTAGATGGTTGACATGGCCGGCTTCACCGCAGTGAGGTCGTAAAGCGAAAGTGTTCATACCTCGTTCTCTGAACAAAGGCATGCAAACTGCGGATTTTGAATTAAATCAAGATTGGAGGCTGCCAATACTAGCATGATGACTGTAGACATTTTGACAGTTTCTGGGTAGGTAGGCTGGTACAACCAGCAAAAGAGGTATGGCACAAAATGGCAAACAGACAAACTGAAAGCCTTTCTCAAATGTACCTTCTAAAGGCATTTAGCGCCGTAAGATTTGCATACATGTAGAATAAGTAATAATTGTAGGGTGGATTTTCGCCATCTTTGTAATGAGGCGGAGTAGGGGTTGAACGATCGAACTGAAATGATCAATTTTTCATAAAATGCAAAAACTTCAAAGAAATTCACTTACATGAACATATTCATGTTTACTCTCGTCATCAACTGAATCTATTCCAGACACTTGTTGCAGGAAACGGTAAAGCTCTGGATGAGACGATGGATCATTCGTTGCCTGGAATATTTTTCTGGAATGATTTTTCAATAATATCGCGTACTTACCTCGAATAGTGGCGTGAATACATTATCTAACAACTCATCGAATGTTTTCACCATGTTCTTTGCCTTGTAGATATCACTAAATGCCAAGCAGTTTGATAAAATGGAAATATCAAAAACAGTGCATACTATAGTCGAGGAATTTGAATAAGCCATCTTGCATTGGGACTCCAGACATCGTGATTTATAGCCCATTTAGCAAGCTTGTCCCATTCATCCTAGAACATGATGAAGTGATTACATGGAAGTTCATCCTGACCAATCAAGCTGACCTTGCTACGACCGTAAATGGACAGACGAGGTTCGGCATGTTGATATTTTGAGTCTTCGAGATCAGACAGTACCTCCTATAAGGAATTTTGAACTTACCAAATTTTCTACATCATTGCACCTACCTTCAAAACTTCTGCGAAGTACTTTCCCTGTACATAATTGTCAGTCTTGATGAAAATCTCTCGCAAGGTGGACTCTCCCACAGGATTGTACCTAAAGTTCGCATTTGAGGAGCAAGTTATTAGAGAGAAACATGTATGAAAAACTGTGCATTTAGTTGTCAGTAAAGCATAACAACGCTGTTACTGCTCAAGCTGGGTGAAACTCCAACTCACTTTGTATTGAACTTGTCGAAGCGATGGAATGTATTTCTATCAGCGTGCACGTCCAACATATCTACAGAGAGATCGTAGGCATCGATTCCCATTTTCTTGAACACCTCCTTCATGGTAACAGGCTTGTTGTTCTGAAAATAGAGACACTTTATTTCCTTGATCAAATGACAGAAAATTAGGTTGCGGCTACATTCTCAAGTACCACGGTGTCCGCCTCAGTCTTTATCTTCTTCTTAATGAATCGAAGTAGATGTTTTTGATTCATAGATGATGCGGCATGAATGTGAGTATCAACCTAGAATTAGTAATTCGTTTGCATCACCACATTAAGAACTTACTTTTCTGATATTATAGAAATCTCGATGTGACACAGATTTCTGTTCGTGTAATTCACGAAGTTCGTTGAGAAGTACATGAAGTTGGAACTTATTTTGTAGATATGAAAGACGACGGTAGCAGAACGATTTTCTAGAGAAAAGATTTTGGAGATGCAGCTAGCTGTAAAATGCGATAAAGGCGATGCAACTCACAAGGGTCCATCGACAATCATTTGTGTTAGTCGCTCTGTATCAGTAAGAAATCTTTCCTTCGAAACATAGAATTCGGCCAACTCTGGCTTTAGCTTCCCATGTTCATCACAGACTTCGACCTATATACTTTATCAGATACTAGCTGGCATACCCGGCTCCGCCGTATGTTCCAAATAGAAGATTTTTTTTCTTAACCGATCCGAACCAAACTTGGCACACATACACTTCGGGCCCCGGCGGGTGTCACAGTCCACTTTTCTTTATCGATCGATGTCGACTTTATCGATTTTTTGCAAAATTTGAGCTAGGGGGCTGGAATTTGGCAGAGGGGTGTAATCGAGCATGCTGATCACCCCCACGGGGGTGATCTGCATGCTCGATTACCCCCCTGTGCCAAATCCCAGCCCCGTAGCTCAAACTTTGCAAAAAAATCGATAAAATCGATAAAAGTAATGCACGATTCTAAAAACTAATGTTGTATTCGTAATCAGCATGCTCGATTACCCACCTGTGCCAACTCCCAGCCTCGTAGCTCAAATTTTGCAAAAAATCGATAAAATCGATATCGATCGATGACGAAAAGTAGCCTGTGACACCCGCCGGGGCCCGAAGTGTATGTGTGCCAAGTTTGGTCCCGATCGGTTCAGAAATGGAATTTTCTATTCGGAACATACGTACAGACAGACAGACATAATATCTCCTGCGTGACGAAGGCGGTTGCCCAAATAAGTTGAAGGCTGTCGCGCACGCGGCGCGCGGGCAATTGTCAGCCATGGAGCGCGCGCACGCTCGCACCAATAACGTGGCCGGCTGGCTGTCGTGCTGCGCGCGCTCCAAATGACCGCTGACCGAGCGTGCGCGCGCTCCATGGCTGACAATTGCCCGCGCGCCGCGTGCGCGACAGCCTTCAACCTATTTGGGCAACCGCCTTCGTCACGCAGGAGATATTACATACAGACATACAGACATACAAACAGACATTCAGCTTTATATATAAGTATTTCTGTACCTCGGGTGCTGGTAACAACGACATGAAGAAAAGGATTTGGTGCAAACTGACCACTCCATCTCTTCGATGCAGAGTATATTTTGTTGAAAACGTCGGCAGTGGTGTGTTAAGTCCCCAGTGATCCTTCGGTGGCTCCGGCGGATTGAATGAAGTATTGGCAGCTGAAATATGGACGCTTTCCCTAGTACAGAGACTTTGGATTGAGCACGAAGTAGACTGAAAGAAGACCACACTTGCTGAAAAAGTGTTACGCAGGTGAGCTACACAGTGAGAGTATGCAAGTAAAGTTCTAAGTAATGAGCTCGTGAACTATGTTGCCATGCAAGTCAAAATCCTATTGGATGAATCTGCGCATAAGGGCGCTGCCAATAAAACACTCAATGAGTCAGTAGGGGAAGGATCAATCCAAGCTTGTAAACGAAATCCATAACGCGAAGAAACACCTTTACCACTGATAAAAAATGGTGCCGATGAGTCTCTTCTCAGCGTTGAGTCTGAAGCAATTGCAGAGAGATAGAAACTGTTACGATAGACAACCGATGAAGATTTTTCTGAAGAAAGATTCAAATTCGGACAGAAAATACCATTTGCAATTGATAGATGCGGGCAGAGGAACCAAAGGCTTGCGCTGCATCTGCAGAGATGTTAAAAGTGACACTTCGTGGAGGATAGCTGATAACAGTCCAAAAATTTCAGCAGAAAAAGGTAGAGAAGCAGAAAAAAAACTGTTGTAATCTGCCAAGCAAAGTTCTTGACGAGCGTCTCAAAAGGGAAATTCTTCCAAAATCGAAAACAACACCATCATCTGCAAACAAATGCGCGCCTTTGGTTCCTCCTCTAGAACACCCCTTGAAAGTCACAGTTCACTTCCGATCAAAGAAAGTATTACAGTAGAAGAGTGCAATACTCGATCAAGTTCGTGAGTGCGCCAATCTTGTCAACAGATTAACCTACATAATTCATCATCTGAAAGCGGTCGTCAGCCGGACATCGAAACGCAGGAAGCATGTAAAAGCGAATAGAAAGCGCAACTTTTACATAATGTGGATGGTAAAATCCACAAGATAGTGGATCTGTGACACTTACTTAGCTCGGTGTTTTTTCGCCGAAATTTGGGCAGGTTTCTTGGATATTCTCCGCTAAGGAAGCGTTTGGTAGTTATAGGGAATTGATTTCCGATCTTTTCCATGTAATCGTTCCTCATATGAAGTGCCTGTATCAGGTGTGATGCAGCATCCGTCAGATCCTCTAGCGGTACCTGAAACTCGTGCTCCACTGAATAGAAGCATGAGGCCGAAACATCACGTCAAATCAGAATGTGGATAATGACTGGATCATAGCAAAAAAAACATACTCCTGACAGCTCCTCGCCGGTGATTGCCATTCGTTGATAATTAACGTCGACTGCATCTCTGAAGTGAAAGATTATTGACATAGCTATAACACAAGATTCTCTTAATGCCACATACGATAGTAAACAGCAAAATTAGTTAAAACTGCAAGTAAATTAGTGCTTAGCCGAGCAAAAAAAGGACCTATTCAGAAAACCGATTCTTTGGACGAAGTTATGAATGTGAACTCGCAAATAATAGGAATAAAAACTGGGCTAAAACATCGAACACAACTTTTCTGAACTCTAATCTACAAAACAGGGTTATTTTCGAAACACTCAACCTTGAATACAAGAAATTTCCTCTTTCCGGGAGAAAAATGCGAGTCACGTGTAAAGAGATCTACACGAACTCGATATAATCCGGCTGCTGCAACATTGGTAGCCTGCCATAACGTGACATATAATTGTCTGAACTGGTAATAATATAGACGGATGCAAAGCCATAGCCTGGACTACCGTGAAAGCGTCATGCACACAGATCTAATATTATCATCAGAAGTCGTAAGAAAACGTTTACAGTTTCAGTGGGTGATTTCAACTCGCTTATTCTTTTGCGTAATCAAATTAGCGAAGCGTTGTTTTTTTTTTCAGAAAATAATGGAAGAAGTAGCAGATTGATTGTGATCCGCTAAGAAGATGATAGCGCAATGGTGATTTCAAATACCTGCAGTCACCATAACGCGATCCGGCCTACTGTCTGTTTTTGCTATAGACGATAGTAGCACACAAAGACTGTGTACATATCCGCGTCTCTCTGTTCGAGCGCTCTTTCGTTTCTCTTACCATCTGCTATCTCTCCCAAGCACAAACTATCTTGGTCGACGCAACGGAGCCCAGTCTTTGCATGTCATAAATCGCGTATATCTCTAGTAGTCGCATCGTAGCACTAGACGCACTAAAACATTGCCTGTGCAAGTTGCGCTCTCTGCACACCGGGCAACACTCTTCCGCATGCACACACGCGTACAAAAACATTGGAGATGTATTAAATGCTCCACAATGGCAGTCATGACCAGGGTTGAGCAAGAGGTCAGGCAAAGTCTTTCCAAAACGACCCCCCCCCCCCCAGTAAAAGCCCCTAAACGACCCCTCTGCTTCACCTCCAGGACCTCAGGCTGTGATAATTCGAAGAGATCAGCCGTTTTTGGGAGGTTCTTGTTTTTTGGAGGTCTGTAGGTCGACTTTCTGCGATTGCACAGCACACGCAGCTTAACGGCAAGTTTTGGATTTTGGATAGGCCTACTTTTAGAGCTATAATTCCCACAGGGGTGTATTGTTTGGCTCCAAATTTGCAGTATTGCAAGAAGAGGCTTTGAGTTCAATACTCATAGCAGAAATGGAGCGATTTTTAGATTTTGAAAACAAGTTAATCGGGTCAGGCGCAACCCCTCAAAAGCTCAGGCGGCCTGACCTTTTGTGGGGTTGCGCCTGACCCGATTAACTTTATCATTGAAGAAGCTTTTTTATTCAAGTTTTATGTGAATCGCTAGCACAACCCTCGAAGATTCCACAGTAAGTGTTTGGACTTGATTCGACTTGTTTCGGCCTTGTGGTAATCCGTGGAGTTAAAGCAGTCATGGCGAAAAACGCGCCGGTCGGAATTTTGGCATTATTTCTTACTCCACTATTTGCAAGCGATACAAAGCGCGATTATTAGCCTAGACTAGTGGGGAACAACACTTTGTTACGAGTACAAAAAAATTGACTTTTCTCACTTTTGAAAACAAGTTAATCATGTTTGAAAATCACGCTTTTTAGTTGTTGAGAAACACTAGATAATGCAGTAAATAATGGTTTGTAGGCCTCATAGAGGTAATTTGACGTGCTCGGAAATGATACCCATTTCACACAGCAAGCTTCCTTGATGAATTTATAATATGTCAAGGTAGAAGATGAAGATTTGAGTTTTGGCCTAAACTTCGATTGTGAAATCAATCAGTATGCTGTTTAAGACCGTTCATTCCTTCAGTACTGGTGAGGTCGCGATATCCACTAAACTAGCGCTTTTCTTCTTCACCTTAATCGTAGTATCTCCTCAATCGAACGAATTCGATTCCTAATCACGACCCCCCCCCTCTGTCTTACCCCAGTACGACCCCCCAGGTCGGGCGCGCCTGACCCCACGCTCAACCCTGGTCATGACCAAGATTTTACCCTCATTCAACAGAACTGGATATTTTACATACACTCAACAAAACTCAGGAACATATAAAAGCTAACATAAAAGCATGCCCGTCAAAGGCACCCAAATTTTAGGTTGGCGAAAATTCGATGCAGTAATGGTGAGGCCCTTAGCTAGTAACCGCCCTAGTCCAGCAGCAAAACTTGTATAGCCTAATAGATTTTTCGCTCAAAGCTTGCGGTGCTGAACGGTGAGATTTGCGCGTGGACGATTGGAGATGGCGGTATTATCGTGGCTATTTATTCACAGAATTTAACCGCAAAATCTGACCCAAAACCACTATATCAGGCGGAGATTCTACAAGATTGAATTCCGAGCCAGAAAAAGGCTCCAAAGGCAAGATGCAGCTCGGACGCCACGCCCATCATTTCAAATTTTCTATAATTCAGCAAGCTGGACAGCAGAGTAGCGGTAATGTCGAAAATCTGTTTTTCACTAGGAAGGATTCCCACATTTCTAGGTTATTAAGTTTACTTTTGGGCTCATTAGGTTTACACTGCTCAAGTAGATATGGTGGAGACCCCACAGCATCACCTTGCAATTTTCTTGCTTTGAGATAACCTTTTGCGGCGGGACTTGGGTAACTATACTCAAATGAGGATCTCGCTATTTTAATGCATCAAAATTTCACCAATTTCAGATCAGGCTACGGCGCCTGTAAGTCAGCCTCGAATCCAATCTCAGAAAGTTCAAACGTACGTAGAAAGAATTTTTGGACCGAGATAGCAGGAAGAAAACACTTATTAACAAAACACAAAGTAGAAAGCTTCTTGCCTGAAGGTATGCATTTCGACAAGTTGAGGACTTTTACTTCGTTCGAGTGGTTCTTCCGGCACGATGCCTGACAGCGGTGAAAGACACATGTATTCATTTTGTGATTCCAGACGAGCTCTGAAATTCAAACAGCACACTATACAGCATAGAGGGTCTAGTACAAAGTCGTGCAAAAAGGCGGACATTCACAGATAGTGGAAAATAGGTAACGACCCCAAAGAACTTAGAACCAGACTCACAGTCAATAAATTATGAGACAGCGAGACATGATATAATTAGGACGTTACTACGGAAATGTATAGATCAACACGGGAAACCCTCTAAGAAACCCTAGGTATTGACGATTTCCTAAAGTGAATCCCCCACAAACGGATGAATAAGTATGCAAACCGATTAAAAAAAGGACGACCTATCCACTGCATTTGTGCAGCCGCAGAAGGTTCTATCAGAGAAGACTGTGGTGATTTGCAAGTGCTTTGCAACGACTCAAGCTAAGCTTATACATGCGCACAACAACCATAACAATCGAAGAAAAAACCTACAAGCACGACCAACGACGCTCTCGTTTCCTAAGATGACGATTATTACCGCTATGGAACCACGTTTTGAATATAGAGAACTGGTAATGACAATACGTTATAAAACTACTATATCGACCCCAAATGAGATTTTACCTACATACCAATTTTCCAAAGTATTGTAATCAGTACCACAAAATACCCAGGTTCCAGGATATGGGGACATATGACATGTGACCATGGCTGGATCAAGGCTTATCTCGATAAGAAAGAAGTAGACGTTACATGTTTCGATTTATCGGAAGCTTTTGACCGTATAATTCATGGTAAATTGTTACATAAGCTTGAGCACTACTGTATCAGAGCGCCCTTGTTTGAGTGGTTAAAATCGTATGTGCACTCCACATGTACAGGGGTTTTCAATCTGAGTGTCACGACCGACGTGGTTCACCCTCTTGAGAACCGCCTCGCTTGGGTCTCTCAGTGGTACACTACCGCACCCGAAAACGGGAAGACCTTAGCGTATGCGGCATTGTGCCACGTGAGAGACCCATGCGACGCGGCTCTCGAGGGGGTGAACCACGTCGGCCGTGACACTCTGATTGAAAGCCCCTGTACGACGGTTCGAGTGGGATTTCGTGGACTTTTCCTTGTCAAGCGGATTCCGGACTTCCGGAGAGCGAGGCCCTTTTTGCTATTCCTAATCTATACTGCTGAGTTAACCCGAATTTTGAAAACTCATCCTGACATCCATGTGCTCATGTATGCCGACGATATCAGAATTGATGGTATATACGATAGGGATAATTAGAGAACAATTGAAGATGCCTTGCAGCGTGCCACCAATAACATGGTTGAATGGCAATAAAAGCTCTGTATTCTATGTTGGTGCTGCTGCAAGTGACGAACACTATGAGCATGCAGAAGTTTCTCTAGCCAAAATATCTATCAAAGACTTAGGTGCTGTATTACGTCCAGAAGGTTTTCACTCGTTTGCTCTACAGATGTTATCCCAATCGCGTTACCCTCGCCTCCAAGCTATGGTGAACAAATGAAATTCCTAGGCCTCAAAAGCCTTTTACATCGCAGGTTTGTGCATGATACAATACTTGCTTTCACGATTTTTAGAGGCGAAAAACTAAGTTCTTCTAGATACTGGGTGTTCAGGCCTAGGAAAGGACTACTGGGTTTAGTGTTTACTTACATCTTAATGGTAGGCGTAAACAACTAAGCTCTTTATTTAAAAAAACAATTCGCAAGCACTTCGAAATAACTCCAGTGCTTACATAAAAGTCTGTCTTCTATAGTCTCACTTTCAAACGAAGACTCAAAAAGAATTTGACTGATTTTCTTTCAAATGACTACTTCTCGTTATCGCTTGTATAGTGCTGTCGTTTACCTGCCGAGTTTTTCCTACGCTCGCTGCCTCGCATGTTGCTTGGGCCTACTCCAGTACTATGAAACTGACTAACTCTATCAATCTCCCACTTATCGCGCAGAAGGTCTCCCAGTGATAACCTTCACAAACACTATATTTGTGATTGTTGAAGCTTCAAGTCACTCTGCTTCATCACTTCGCCCAAACGAAGGTTCGGATACGGTTCGCCCCTTCCGCTGTTATTTGGGTATAGCTTGTTGGGCTTGTTCATCTTTTTGCATTATATTCTCTTATCTCGAAGTTCTGCTTTCTCTCCAGAAATTAGTTGGGCAAATTTGTCAACACATAGGGTCCCCGCAAATACAGTTGCTCAAGTGAAAGTCTAGAGCACTTTTACTTAAGTCATCTCAAAAGTTTTGTTTTTTGATCTTCTGACATTGGTGCATTTTCGAGAGAATGTCAGAGAGGGGTTGCTATAAATGGATATATAAGAAGGATTTGTAGCTGAGATTATCTAGTTCTCAGGGATCCCGCCAAACGTGCAGAAATCGCCTTATAGGAAGTTTGTATGGCTATGAAGTCGACATATGAAAACGCATTTTTGATCATTCCCTAAGCTGAAACTTGGATGCAAGGTAGTCGAGGGAGCAACCATAAAGTGCACTGTATTTAGCAGGGATATCCCATTCTTATGGGTGTGCAAGACCAGTGCAAAGAACTTGGATTTAGGAAATGAAGAGCCAAAATTTCGCAATGTCCTATATCATACCCTATAATAAAGCGTAGGGGGGACCATCCGACGTCAACAACCGGCGAAGGATGTTTGCCCAGATCTCTGAGTTAATTCTTGCACTTTCGCCCGCTTCCATACTGTTTACCGTTACGACTCAACCTAAGTGCAACCTATGGAGTCATCAATGGTATGATGTTTTGTGCCATCTTCGGTGTTCCGTCTGCTTCGGTGATGTTTATCACGACGTCAAGCTAAGTACAACCCCAATTCCGTCGCCTACAACGCTGTTGGCGGTCGATTTATTTCAACCGCTTTACATTTTGCTTCATTTGCTCAAGCAAACAAACTGCGGACAGCATCTTCAGGTTGGTGATAATACTTAACATTAATATCTGCATTACATCTCCTCAGTTCTTTCTTGATTGGTGTACCACATCATCATTGTTTTTATCACTAAACGTATCTTCACGTGCAAAACCAAAATTTACTCTCAAAATTGAATCCCCAAAACAAGCAAAATCATGCCACTCATTTTGCGTTTTCGTTCTGTGCACCATTTCATTATTGTCTTCATCACCAAACGTACCTTATGGAAAAATTTCAAAATTTACTTAAAAACCTTCCACAAGAATGGAGCAAAAGAAGCGAATGTGGCATGCTGAACGTATCTTCACATGAAAAAATCCTTGAACTTGCTGTGAAAATCGAACCTTCTTGAAAAAAAATTATACGTTAGCACATACTGGACAATAGCAAGCGCGATTGGGTTGCAATCTATCTAGCTTTGAAGCCATCCAAAAAAGGCCTATGCTTTGTGCGATTTTGTAACAAAATAAACTATGTCGGAAAGATTTCTTTGCAAATCAACATGTATTTACATATGAATCATACATCAGTATAATTGCCTAAAAAACTGCGGTAGTTGTGACATCCAGTTGGTATAGGTCTTCTTGGTTCTTTCATCTATATTTAGACAGGTCTAAATATAGATGAAAGGACCAAGAAGCGCGCAATTTATTTCATTCAGCAATTCTGCACCTAATTTGGACGAAACTGGAACGTCTTATGAAAAGGCAATAGTTGGCACCAAAATGTCATAGAAAAATATTCTGGAAGTCTTAACTGCTGTCATGTGAAATAGTACCTGAAAATTTGAGACGGACTTTTTTTGCAACACATATTGTCTAATTTCAACGCCGAAAATTTCTCCTTCGCAATGTCAAACATGCACCTGGCATACCATCTACTATTTGTAAACGTTGCATTTGTGTCAATATAAAGGAATCCATCAATGTTTCTTCCCTTTTTTCAAGTATTTCTCGATAAACTCAAAACAAAGTCTAAAAAGCAGGGGAGGTAGTAACATCGAGTGATCCGAAATTACTTGATTATTTTGTTACGCTATTTTTAGCCCTGAAAGTAGCTGAATATTTTGCGAGCAAGAAGGCATTAATTCATGAGCGTCATTTTGTACAGAATTATTGTCATGAACATCTCACTGACTGATTAATATCTCTGAGAAGCTTGCGAACTTTTTTTATTGCAATTTTTACCGCCTTACTGTCGAAAAGCTCCTTCATAAACATAAGTTGATGTAATTGTGTAACTATTGAGATTACTTGAAGTCAGATGTTGTAGTGGCATATCTGTAAGATTTGCACAAAAGAATAGGGAAATAGAGAAAGCCTTTTTTGTAATATGCCTGATCCAATGTAGAGAGAACAATATCGAAGTTTTCCAAGTACTTTTCATGAACTCCATATCGTCTATGTTAGGCAATGTGGTAATATCGGTGTCATCAAAGAAGACGGAAAGATGTAGAACTGTTTTGCCTAACATTGCATGGTTCGCAGGAAGCTAGATATCTTATCGAGAATTGTTTCAAAAAACTGTGGTAGGTTTTTTATTCTACATGGATGTATGATATTATGTATGAACTCGAACTGCTGAACACCATAAGAATACAGTGCAATTTTTCAGCTCACGTGCAAGCGCGATAAGGTCTGCTTTTCGAAAGTCTTTGATTTTATTCACTTAACATTTCAATATTGTGTAAACTTTTCAAATGCTGTCCACTAAGTGATAAAAACATGATGATGCGAAGTCTTGAAACTCTATACTGGATGCAAAAAGCTCCTTAGTAACTAAATTGTAGGTTTTAACAGAAGACTTCAACTTAGAATTTCGCATTTTTTTCAAAAGACCGAAAATTTCCGAAATACCGTAAAAAAACTCACGACGATCGTGATAGAAGTTTAAAAAGAATTACATGCTCTCTGTTTGCTATCAGTGTATCAAGTGAGCAAAAGAGATGCACAACCTCAGAATCGTATAAACGCTAACGATTTGCTTGGGTGAACGGCTGAAATTAGATATACACTCTAATAGTAGCTGTCTTAGTAGAATTTGAGTCAGAGGCTACCAAGATGAGCTGGAAATTGGGGTGGACTCAGAGGTGGGTAGAATTTCGTAAGTGTTGAACAATTTAAAAATTCCATATAGAATACGAACGGGATTTCGTATTAGAATTTTTGAAGTGGAAAGAGTTTGCGCACCTTCTAACAAAGCATATTTTGTAAGGAGGAAGGGATGTTTATTGATTTAGAAAATTTTATAATTATAAGTTGGAATGTTGGCCAGAGCCGCAGCGGTGTTCGACCATGACCGAGGACGTAGCTTCCTCAACCCAAATTTTCATTAGAACCTGATTCAAAGGGAGTGAATTGTTAAAGTAGTTCGTAGGGACAGGTGATGAAAGGGCTCTGGGTGAAAATAGTCAAGAGAGTGATAGCTGGGAAAAGCTTGCCGAGTTTGTGACGGCTACTTCGGTCAGAAAATTTCTGAATGTGAGAATTTGAGGGTATCGGAGGATTTTCCCAAAATGTGTGAATGAGCAACTTTGCAGTTACAGTTTGTCACAAGATGATCGCGCTAAAACGTCTGAAAAATCCGTGCCATATTTTTGGCGAAGAAAAGTTCCACGTTCTAACTTTGACATTCACATCTCACTCTACACATATAGCCAGTCCGAAGCGCCGCGAAGCGGCGCTTCGGACTGGTATCTATATATCTATATAGTATATGCTCATTTTTTGAAGAAATTTTGAGTCCATCTATATAGTCTTCTCTGTAACAAACTGTGACATCTTCCTGCAATAGTTATCAATGACATCTATTTTGACATTGATACGATTTTCGTTTTTCGATCTAAGGTATTATTGGAGCAAGATAGTTTAATCGAAATCGGATTCATTTTATTTTCTTAAACATAGCAGATTTTTTCCGTTTGTTTTCCAGGTTTATCAAATTTGCAGTGAAATTTCCGAAAAAGAGCTTGAGAAGTAGAAAATTCTTGAGGTTTCACGCAAAAACATGAGCTTCTTCGGAAACAGCATGTCAGAAAACCCTTACATAGAATTTTTGAAGTTTTTGTTGAAAAATTTGTGAAAACAAGTTTTAATTCAAAAAAAATCCTAGGTTTCAAGTAAAATGATTAACATATTCGGAATCAGCGTGATAGAATACCCCTACATACAAGTTTTTGCCCTAATTGGACTGATTTCACTACTGGACTTTGAATTCAAATTTCAAAGAAATTCCGGTTTCATAGGCTGCAGAATGATGAAGGAGTTACCGTGAGCAGAATCAGCTCATCTTCGTTGCAAAATGAGTGCAAATTAGCGTTGCTGCCAGTTCATGACCTCTCATGAACTCCGCTAATTAGGCGGCGGCAACCTTATTGTGTATGTAAGTTCCGTTCCCCAATGAATAATAGCAAGTCAAAAAACACCTTTTTAGGTTTTATTGACTCCTAAAGAATCACTACACATGAAAAAAGCACATAACAACTACAGTAGCGCTCTTAAAGATTTTCTAACAAAATAAAGTTTATTTAGTTCAAAAAGGATGAGTTTAGAAAAAATAGTGACCAGTTGTACTCAAGGGTGCAAAAACGAAAAAAAACTTTTGTGATGACCATAGTACAAGCAGGGGCATGAAACAAACTCCACTGAGTATACATACTGATATAATCATACATGGTCCAAACAAGCTTGAAGATAGCGGCTCGGCAGAATGACATCTTTGGGGTATCCATCGATCTCGGTTCCCCTGGATGAGTTAGGTCCAAGACTGAGCTTCGCAGCTTTGAAAGATATCAATAACCCGCTTTTCTAGGACGTAAAAAGTGCTGTTTGGGCGGGTCGCGAAAGTGGCTGCTGGAGCCAATAATCCAATTGCCGTCGAGATGGGTACGGTGTCTCCACTCACGAGCCAGTCGCGCTCTAGAGTGCAGGCATACGCCGTCCGCCCACATAGCACTTTTCATGTCTGGAAAAGCGGGTTATTGATATTTCTTGAAGCTGCACACAGTATTGGACTCATCCAGGGGAACCGAGAGCAACAAATATCCCAAAGTTGTCATTCTGCCGAGCCGCTGCCTGTAACCTTCTATTCTTAAAGGCAGCGTCCCACCAGACTGGGGTACCTGGCTCTCGTAATGATGTAATAGTAGACCCCCTATCTAAGCGATGACTGAAGTTCGGAGCGAAAAAGGGGGTCTACCAAGCATGAAATTTGCTCCGAAAGTGGGCCGAATCTTACGGTAGGGTCGGGCGAGTGCGAGGTGCATGCAAGGTAGAGACGCAGAGTGTTGCGGGTCCCTGCGCTCATGATGTGTGCGCTATACGCACTCTGGCCCTGCAAATCGATATCGCCATGTGGGCGGCGTTCGGCCCTACCGTAAGATTCGGCCCACTTTCGGAGCAAATTTCAGGCTTGGTAGACCCCCTTTTTCGCTCCGAACTTCAGTCATCGCTTAGGTAGGGGGTTTACTATCACATCATTACGAGAGCCAGATATCCCCAGTCTGGTGGGACACTGCCTTTAACACACCTGGGAGCTGGACTTGAGCTGTTGGTGGATGTTTTTTAGTTGTTTTGTTTATTACTGTTCGAATTCTGAGTATTTTCGTTCTCTTTGTTCCAAATGTGGCACGCCTTGTGCGTATCTAATGTGTACTACATCCACCGTGTCTCATTTGGAGTGAGCCCAAATCGCTGCTCGAATGTCGCGCGATCGCTTCGTTTGGGCTTGCAATGCGTTCGCAAACGTTTTCTCTGACTTATCTCACGCCTAATCGACGATTAAAGCTCGCATTTGAGTTTTTTTTTGTTTACAAATGAAAGTGCGTGGCGTTGCCCTCGCACTCGGAGATTTCAGATGGAAGTGTGGTGGCCACTGCTCGAAACAAAAGCACAAGGACTAGAGTTTTTGAAGAATTGCGACATTGTTTTAACTATTACAATTGGAAGCAAGTCGCTTGCACAATTTTATGACTCAAATAAGCAACTTCAAAAAATTCTGCAACGAAGTCGCCCTCCCCCTCCCCCTCAGTCCGCTACTGCTGACCAGAAATGTACTAGCGCACATTTTCTCAGGAAAGATGGGGTACGGATCGTCGAGAAAACATGAAGTTTGGGTGATTCAGACCATGTACTTATTAATGACTGAGTTGGATGCTCTCACAGTCGTTGTAGCATTGTAGCACACAAAGCAAAACATACCGATTCTGAATTTCCATCGTTTTCTGTTTTCGACTTTCATTCACTTCAATTGGTGTGCTTGAGATCTCATATGGCTGCCCGGTGACATGCCCGTTAAGGTTATTGCCCAAAGCATATGATGGCCGGAATGGTCCATTGTCGAACACTTCGCTATCGACAGTTTCTGGAATAAACAAAGTACTAAGCTGACCAGAATGCTCTGAAGTAAGAAGACCAAACACTGATATGGGACTTCAATACACAGACTCTTTGACGAAAACGGGCACACTCCTCAAAGGTGAATCTGTTAAGAACATATACACATCACCTTACTGTCGCCATTTGGGGCCGTGACTGGGTTAGAAACTCGCAACTTCACAACGTGCCTGCACTCTCACCACTAGCGCAGCGCAGCTAGCACCCTGTAGCCGCTTCAGGATGCGTACAGATTGCACGCGTTAGCCTGTTACAGACTTCAGTCACTGCAATTGGCACCTTTCAGCTATATAGTCGCGTGACGTGAAGCTGCGCGTTTGAGACAGGCCATATTTCTGTGATTCCTGCAATTCCTGTGATTCCTGCGGTAACGATGTATACTGCGAAAGAACGATGTATGCTGAAATTCGCAAAGCGCTCCGTAGTGCGGCACATCAGAACTCGAGGAATCACTAAAACTGCAGGAATTACAGGAGTCGCATGCATCTCCTAGAAAAGTATGGCCGGTCCCTTTGGCCGAGTTCATACTGATCCTTAAAGACAGTGCCCAGAAGTCCTCCCCAGTATGATTCACGCTCTCAGCTTCCGGAGCGGTCTTCTCGATTCCGCTAGCCACCCTGATATCGCACGTCAGGTGCAAATATAGTCCCCTCCACAGATCGTGCTACCCTTGGTCTCTCAGACCTGCCACATGTGGCTAACATGTTGGCAACGTGGCAACAACATGTTTGCAACATGCCCCAACATGTTGGCAGAACATTTTGGCCACGCCAACATGTTGCTGCATGTTACCAACGTGTTGCTGCCAACGTTGTCAATGTGTTAGTCACACGTGGCACGTCCGCGACGCCGTAAGGGTAGCACGATCTGTAAAGGGGACGATATGTGATTTGAAATCCGAACCGAGAAGATCGCTCCGAAAGCTGGGAGAGTGAATTCACATTGGGGAAGCCCCCACCCGTCTGCTGATTCCCCTCCTGCGTTAGAGTCTTTTTTCGCCGTTTTGCCCTCTCCAGTGTGGATTTCGGACTCAGCTCAGCGAATAGGCCCGGGTAAGCACAAGATCTCAAAATCAACTTCCTGCCCAAACACTGCCTTTGAAGACAGCGTCCAGGCAGATCTGGACATATGGGGATCTCACGCGGACAGTACCCTAATTTCACGCGTATAAGACGCACTTTTTCGATTTTTCAAGCGAGCCCTCAGCCGCTTCATTGTAGTCGGGAAAGAAATCCTTATACCAACGATTCTCTTAAGCAATATACAGCACGTTATAAGGTTCTTTGGTTGTAAAGTCCTTTGGCGTGTCTGGGCCGGCCGATTTTTGGAAAAAAATCCCCCGCGCCTTATACGCGTGAAATTAGGGTTTTAGGACCCTAACTAAGACACGCCCAACCGGCAGTTCAGATGGTGCTGTAATGGCTGAGATATTCGCCTCCAAACTAGACCCCGCAATCGTATTGCATAACCGTGGCGCAACACTTCATTCGCTTGGGTCCTCGCGCGAAAGCATGCAAACACGATGCAAGTCGTCCGATAAGGCGATCGCTGGGGCCAGTTTGGAGGCGTATATCTCAGCCGTTTGTGAGTCATTTGCGCTGCCGCTTGGGCCGTGCTTAGTTAGGCCCCCAAATTTACTTTCCACGTAAAATTCTGATAGGTCCAGTTTGCCTGGACGCTGTCTTCGAATTCCGGAACAGTTGCAGCACAGCGCACAATTCAAGCGCTGTGCTGGAAGTGTTCCGAAACTTACGGATCAGTATGAACTTAGCCTTACGCGTTCAGCAAGGGATGAGCGGCGCAGCGTGCGCCGCATTGCAGCTCTGGGCATGGTCGCACTCGAGCGAATCCATGAATGTCGCCAGCGACTTGGCAATTCGTCAAAGTCTGCAAATTTACCGCACGAGATTTCAAATGCATAGGCGCAAAGCTTTTGTGAGCTGATAGAACAAGTTAAGTTCCAACAAAGTGAGCTCACGGAATGTTAGAAAGGATCGCACCAATCCAGATCGCACAGCTACTGGAAACGCAGGAGTTATGACACCGATGCCCTTGATTCTGGCATATCAAGCGATTTCAGTCACGATACGATTTGGCAACACTCCAACTGTCCAACTCATTGTAAGCCATTCCAAATGTCCAGAAGGTAATAGAGCGATTTGTCAATCTGCGGAAGTAATACACATTATGCATTTGTAGTCTGCTACTGTTGCATAGATTGCCCGAAAGCGTGGCGAATGAAATCGCATGAAGTATGGGCCTTAATGAGCTGCGATGGTGCCCGCTGCAATGATGGGATCTAAACCGTAAACGTCCAGTGGTCGACAAAGCAGCGCCATCCACGGTTTAGATTTCAATCACTGCAGTCGCGATGCCGGAAAGCGGGGCTCCGAATGCGACGCCATGCACAGCGCTTCCTGGCGGACACTGAACCGGAACAGGGGCCATATGTCTCTATACGCTCCATGTGCGGACAGGCGATACGAATTTGTAACGCTTGCACAGTCGATTTCATCCCGGATTAGGCGAACATTCTAGGTAGAGCAACGCATACGCATCGCTGGAGGCTTCGCGAGCGCATAGCGCTGGCATTTTGCCAAGCAAAGACTAAGGGGAATGGAGAGACGCAGGCTTGGGTTCTCAGCACGATATGATATACTGTAGCTGCAAAACAGCGCGAACTGTTCCGGGGCGGACTCCCGCCGATTCAATTTCCGCCTAAAGCGGGCCGGAATTTACTGTAGTGTGGAGCTGCGTGCCATGTCGCAGGTGTCCGTGTGGGACCACCTTCTTTCGGTGATATATGGTTGTGGTCCTCCACCCTGAGCAAGCTGTACGCATCCTCAAACTCGTGGTTCTTTTTTCAGTCTGCGGTTCATCCCTTTACGTTCTACAGGGCTTTTCAACATAAGAGTCACAGCCTCCGCTTGCGCGGCTTCTCCAACGCGGCCGCCTCGCTCAGGCCGCGCGCGGCGTTTGCGGCGTATCGCCCGGGCTTTTGCCAAGCTTCAGTCGACGGCAGCCAGCGCCACGAACGCTGCGCGGACCTAAGCGTGGCGGCCGAGCGGGGCGGTTGTGACACTCAGGTTGTAAAGCGCTGTACATTTGGAACCAACACGGCATGCTGGGGTAGCAAAATTTAGCGACTGATTGTAGTTGATAGAATTATCGAAGTTAGTACTACTCACTATCTAGCATTGCAAGCATATTCGATATGAAACAGAAAAAAAACGGTGCGAAGTTTAGCGACGCAATCGTATGAAGAACAACACGAAGTTCCCATGCACAAAGATGTGACCGAAGCGAAGGCAAGGCAAAACGATCTTGACCTACTAGGGCGGGATCTGACTTATGCCCAACTGCATTGGTTAAAGCACAACCAATGTACAGGCTAACTCAGCTGCGGTGTCGGAGGCACCAGCAGCTCGGATCCCGCCTGCCGCCTGGCCTGGCCTGCGCCGCGTGCGCGAGCCCGTCGTCTGGTCGTATTCCCAGGCCAGAGCCTGGAAAGGACTCAAGGTAGCTTCAATCGTTAAAGGCAGCGTCCAGGCAAATCTGAACACATAGGGATCTCGCGTGGATAGTATTTTGGGGCGCGAATACGATCGCGGGGTCCGGGTTCGAGGGGAATATCTCAGCCGTTAAAGCACTACCTGCGCTGTCGCTTGGGCAGTGCCTTAGTTAGGGCCCCAAAAGTACTTTCCACGTACAATCCTCGTAATAGGTCCAGATCTGCCTGGACGCTGCCATTGGGCGCGGAGAGTGAGAACAGGTTCGCGAACGGAGTGCAGTTCCAGCCAGGCGGCCGTGCTATACTATCTATTTATAGTTTGAGACAAATATTTTTACACAGAAAAATCTCCTCAAAGAATCTGCAGAGCACGAGTTGGCAGCATGCAACAGGTGAGCTTACCTAAACAAGCCTGCGCTTTCAACGCTGCGTCATCTAAAATATGAATGCTAGTAAGGGGCAAACTAAATAATTTACGATAAGCAAAGGTTATCGGTTTTATGTCAAGTCGATCGGTAACGATTACTGCATAATGCTACGAAGTTGGGCTTGCACTTCGACGGTGGTCGCCGCATGTGTGCGGCGTCTCAGCTCTGGTATACTACCGACTGTGACAAGTGTGATTTATCGTCCACACCACAGTTGTTGCTACTCCTGCTCTGGGTCTCTGGTCTGCGCCACGCATGTCAAACATGTTGACAACATGCCACAGCATGCTCGCAACACATGTGTCTAATTGTAAGATACAAAGAAACGTAAGCGCAATTCAAAAATCTGCAGATAGCGGGAAACCGCGTTGCGGTCCCAGCGCGCTGATGCAATCTAGCGCCTTCAATTAGTGGTTCACTAGTATCAGGAAAGCATCTCTTCCCTCAGCATCGAACATGAAGAAGCAATAGTATCAGATTATCAGATTTCGAGAGGAAAGGGCACTCAGGGTCCCTTCATACCACGCCGGCAGCCGCCGCTAGCAGCCCGTAGCAGCCGCTTGCAGCCCGTAGCAGCCGCCAGCAGCCCGTAGCCGCCGCTGACGCTTTTGTCATAGAAGCAAAATCATCAAATTTTTACCACTTCGAGTGCGCCGCCCATCTCTCACGCTTCCTTCTTCTCGTTGCGGCTAATGTGCAGTTCCACCCTCACCATTAGAGTTATTCAAGATAAGCACCGACTAAGGATATGATTGAAACAGAACCACGCATAAATAATAACACTGCAGAAATTTGACGCATCCAAAGTCGAAATATGGTTCAACTGCGGAGAAATTGAGCACCGATGAGATAACCAATGTACGGCAACAAGATAATAACGAAATGGACGCAAATATCATATATGAGATCGAATTGTGACAACAGGTAGAAAAAAGCGCGAAAGACGGAAAGCGTGGTCGATTGCACTTGAAATAGTAAGAATTTGATGATTTTGGCTTCTATGACAAAAGCGGCCAGCGGCGGCTACGG